TGGGTTGCTGAGTGCTGCAGGCATTGCGCTTGTGACTTACGTTGACAATATGAAGGCGCTCCCGTTCGCGGTGCCGTGGGCTGATTGCCAGGTGTTGTTGGATTTGTGCTTAAGGCACATATACCTGATGACGCGGGTCGGCTGTCCCTTGGTGCCAAAATTTCACATGTGGGTGCACATGACATGCAACATCGCATTGCACGGAAATCCAATTTTTTACAGCACATTCGTTGACGAGACTCTCAACTTGTGCGTTGCCCGCATAGCTGCAGTTTCGCATCGTTCAACGTGGGAAGAAAGCATTTTCTTACGATGTCGTTTACTACCAGTTTTGCTTAACAACTGTGTGTTAGCTCGCGTGTGAATGCGCGAAGAAAAACCAGTGACCGCTCTCCGCCCGCCCCTCGGTCCTCAACCTGGGGGTTACACTCGTCCTGGCCAACCCTGGGGAATGAGGGATCGCACGCTACAGGAATATCTGAAATCTACCCGAAAGCTACCCGAAAGCTACCCGAAAGCTACCCGAAAACTACCCGATCGCTGCTCGGCATGGTTACTCGCTGCTGCACCAGAGCTGTCCCGACTGCGAACGTCCGCCCTAAGTATAAGCAACGCCCCACTGTCGTGATTGGCTGTTCGCCTTTCCCGCCAGACCTCCGCGATCCGTGTGAGAGGTGCGCGAGCATGGGCGGGGCACTGGGCCTCCGCGTGGTCTGCTCTGCCGTGCTGGTCAGCTCAGGTGCGCTGGTCTGCTGTGCTGGTCGGGTCTGCAGGTGCCTGCCGCGCGGGTCCTCGGGGGACCTCGGCCTCCCAGGGCCCAGGGGTCTCTCCATTCCCCAGGGCCCCCCGAGGGCTTCTGGATATCATGTCTTGGGCGCGTGTGGGAGGGGCCTATCTTGGGTGGAGGAGGAGGGGGTGGGTGGGGGGAGGACGGGGTATGCAGGATGAGCGGGGCCCGAAGCCCAAAATCTCCAAAGCCCCCATGCCCCGAAGCCTCAGGACCTCAACCCTCAAGATCCTCCTCCGTTTATAACCATTTTGGCTCGAGGCAGCCGAGGGGTCGGCGCGGGTCTCGTTTCCCGCCGAGGAGTCGGCGCGGGCCTCCGCGCGCGGGCGCGGCACCTTCCCACCGTCGCGGACATGGCGTACAAGTACCCACCGTTGCTGCCAGGGACGGCACGCGTGGATCCCCAAGTGATGCGGATGCACATCCTGAACAATCCCAGGCATTTCCACGACGAAAGCATCATGTGGGCGCAGCACGGGGCCATCAAGGCTACGCCTGAGGACGTGGAGCGGTACGAGCAGCAGTACCAGCGCGGCTCGCGCGCGCCGAGTTCGGCGGAGGCGACGCACTACCCAGACACTGGGCACTTGGGCATCGACGGCGACTTCGACTTCGACGTGGACAACCACGACGACAGCCTGTGGGAGTCGGACAACCCCCGCGAGAGCGGACCTGACGACGAGCTGTCGAGCCAGCAGGTGCTCGAGCAAGTGGACCGCTCCGCGCAGGGCGAAAACGATATGCAGCTCGAGGCGGGCGGCACGCAGCGCGACGAGGTGAAGCTCGAGACGGGCGACGCGGAGCGCTACGAGGTGAAGCTCGAGGGCGACACGCCGCAGGGCGAGATGCAGCTCGAGACGGGTCACGCGCAGCAGGACGACTTACAGCTCGAGACGGGCGGCACGCAGGACGAGGTGCAGTTCGAGACGGGCGGCGAGACGGGCGACACGCAGGACGAGGTGAAGCTCGATGTGAAGCCCCATCCAGAGGCGACGCTCGAGACCGATCTGGAGCGCGAGCTCATTCGCACGGCCGACGTGGAATCGGCCGACTCCCACATCACGGACAGCGAGGCGGACGTGAAGTCCGAGCAGCAGGCGAAGTTCAAGAAGCTGATCAAGACGATCACCAAGCCCATCCCCAGGAACCCTGTGCTCGGTAGCAGCAGCAGCAGCAGCAGCGGCGCGCCTTGAGTTTTCAACGTGCAGGCGGATGGATGGTGTGGTTTTCAACACACAGGCGGCCATCGCCCTAGTTCGGTTTCGGTGGCCGCGCAACCTCGCCTGTGCAGGTTCAGGGCGGCCGAGTGCAAACATTCCTGCTCATCCTCCCCCATCCCCCTGCTACTGCCGCTGCTGATCCCACCCCTGCTCATCCTCCCACATCCTCCCTGCTACTGCCCCTGCTGATCCCATCCCCCTGCTACTGCGCTGCTGATCCCCCATCCTCCCCCATCCCCCTGCTCATCCTCCCCCATATCTCCCTATAGGCCATCATTCTCCACCCTCATCCTTCCCATCACGCCCTCCACCTCCGCATCATCATCATCACCCCCCCCCTCCCCGTCCTCCTGCATCATCACCCTCCTCCCAGTGCAGCCTGAGATGAGAGGGCCCGTCTCGATAGCTCGGCTCGACTCGGCCCGCGGTTTCTGGATGAGCTGGCGGGGACCCGCAAGCGTCACGACGTAACACCCGCGCGTGTTAGCGAACAGCATATGCCAGGCAGCTGCCCGAAACCTACCCGAAACCTACCCGAAACCTACTCGAAAGCTACCCGAAACCTGCCCGTGAAATGCGAGAACGGCCGCGACGACGACAACGACGATCACGACTACGGCGGCGGCGACGACGACGCCGTCCGAGACGACGGGGGGAACGACGGCGACGACTGCGACGACGACGTCGACGCCAACGCCAACGACGACGACGATTCTGCTAACGACGTCGTCGAAGACAACGCTGGCGACGATGCCGACGATGCAGCCGCCGACGACACCAACACCGACGCCGCCACCGACGGCGACGACGCCGCCGACAACGCTGGCGACGACGACAAGTACTGCGAAGACGGCGACGACGACACCATCGCCGCCGACGCCACCGACGACGCCGACGACGCCGACGACGACGACGAGGACGACGTCACCGACGCCGACGCCGCCGCATGCCGACGACTACACCGACGACGGGCGAAGACGACGTTGATGACGACGCCACCGACGACGACGGCTGCGCAGACGACGACGACGACGACGACGACGACGACGACGACGACGACGACGACGACGACGGCGACGGCGGCGGCGGCGGCGGCGGCGGCGACGGCGACGGCGACGGCGACGGCGACGGCGACGGCGACGGCGACGGCGACAGCGACGACGACGTTAGCGACGACGACGATGGTGGCATAGTGGCGACGACGACCACGACCACGACGTTGACGACGTTGACGACGGCGACGACGCCGACGAACAATGAATATTTTATTCGCTGCGCCCGCGCTCGCGTGGACACGAAACGTCGAAAATTCAATTGCGGCCTCCCCCCCAGTGCCACTAACCCGCGCCAAGTACGGTGCGCTCGCGCTCCTTGCGCTAAAAGTTTGCCGAGTTACGCGGCGCTTGCGCTTCGAAAGCAATGTGGCTGAACACGGCGCGGTTACTTCAGGGCCACTAAGCCAGCGGTTCCGCTGGCGGCGAGCCTCAACGCGCGCACAACACGTTCAAGCCATGACCCCAACACCGCAAACCACTAAACAAACAACAACATGCGCAAACGCGAAAATTATGCTCAGAAACGCAAAGCGAAAAGTTTCTGAAACCAGCAGTTTCTGAAAAAGTTTCTGAAAAAATGAATCTTTGGACCTCTGGGTCCCCATCCCCCCCCCCCTTTCGCCCCGCCCGAGGGCACGCCGAAACGGGCCCCTCGGTGGGGCCGGAATCGCCTACATGCAGCAGAGTTCGTAGCCCCCCCTTTCCCCATCCCCCCCCCCTTTCGTCCCGCCCGAGGGCACGCCAAAACGGGCCGGCCCCTCGGTGGGGCCGAAACCGGCTGCATGCAGCAGCTTTCATAGCCCCCCCCCTTTCCCCTATCCCCCCCCCCCCCCTCTCGTCCCGCCCGAGGGCACGCCAGAACGGGCCCCTCGGTGGGGCCGAAACCGGCTGCATGCAACAGAGTTCGTAGCCCCCCCTTTCCCCATCCCCCCCTCCTTTCGTCCCGCCCGAGGGCACGCCAGAACGGGCCCCTCGGTGGGGCCGAAACCGGCTGCATGCAGCAGCTTTCGCAGCCCCCCCTTTCCCCATCGTCCCGCCCGAGGGAACGCCGAAACCACATTCGGCTACACGCAAGAGTGACCCTGGGTAAGAGTGACCTTTGGTGCGCGGCTTTTGGGGGCGCGAGGGAGCCAAACCCAAGGGCGCGGGCCGCTCATATCGCATCGCGCTCGGCGATCGGGGGGAGCCCGATGAGCCCGCACCAAAGGTCACTCCGGCGAAAGGTCACTCTCACGTGTAGTCGATTCTATGTCTTGGTTTTAAGCTGCTTCCTTTTCCCGCCCGCGGGAACGCCGCGAAACCACATGGAGTGCCCGGCGATTCCCGGGGCCGCCGCGGGGGCCGCCGCGCCGCGCCGCCGCGCGCACCGCGATCCTGACCTTCCAGAGCGCTATTTTTCCGCACGGGAGGCCTAAAACGAAAGGAACCAGCCTAAAACAAAGGGACACAGGCCGAAAACGAAAGGAACAGGAGCTATTTTTCCCCTGAAAAGCGAGAGGAAAGAGCCTGAAACCAAGACATCGAATAGCTCTGGGATGGGTTTTTGAGTCGCGTGCTATTTTTGTTAGCCCTCCTGGAAGGTCAGGGGACGAGCCCGCCGCGCCCCGCGGAAAAAGAGCGCGGCGTGCGCGGCAGCTCTCGGATTTGGACGCCCGAAATGGGTACTGAAAGAATGGGCACTATGCCCAACAACTAATGTTGTCCCAAGCCAACAGCGGCCGCTGTTGGGCAGGCGACCTTCTGCCTCGAATGGACACAGGCTGCGGCGGCGCGGACAGCGAATTGTTGTTGGGCATTTTACCCATTCTTTCGGTACCCATTTCGGGCGTCCAGATCGGAGGCCCCGCGCGGGCCTCGCCCCGGAGCGGCGCCGGGCCCCCGGTGGGGCTGCGCGCGCCCCGCGCGGCGCCCGTGGGCGGCGCGCCCGCGGGGAGGGAGCCAGCCTCGCAGGGATCCCTAAAAACGAAAGGAAGCAGCCTAAAACCAAGACATAGAATAGCTCTGGGATGGGTTTTTGAGTCGCGTGCTATTTTGTAGCCCTCCTGGAAGGTCAGGGGACGAGCCCGCCGCGCCCCGCGGAAAAAGAGCGCGGCGTGCGCGGCAGCTCTCGGAGGCCCCGCGCAGGCCTCGCCCTGGAGCGGCGCGGCGCCCGTGGGCTGCGCGCCCGCGGGGAGGTGACCAGCCTCGAGCGGATCCCTATAGATCCCTGAGGTGGGCGAGCAGCGAGCGAGGGCAAGCTTTGAATAGGCCCTGGGACACACAAATGAAGACACACAAAGAAAACATATCCCCACATTTCCCCGTAGGTTCTGGGTTTTTGTCTATCCCTATCCCTGAGGTGGGCGAGCAGCGAGCGAGGGGCAATCCTTGGGGATCTCAGGGGCTCCTCAGGATCGGCATCGAGGTGAGGCGAGGCCAGACACAGGGATAAGGATACGTTTCAGATTCGTAGGGGAGGGGGCCCGCGGGGAGGGAGCCAGCCTCGAAGGGATCCATATAGATCCCTAAGGTGGGCGAGCAGCGAGCGAGGGCAAGCTTTGAAGGGGCCCTGGGACACACAAAAAATGAATACACACAAATAAAACAAGTCTCCCCACATTTCCCCGTAGGTTCTGGGTTTTTGTCTTCCCCCCCACTTCCCACATTTTCTCTTATTTTCTGGGAAATGGGCTATCAATTGTGTCTGTGTGTTTTCCTCCTCCTGAATCGTAGGGATCACAGGGCACCCTCAAGATCGGCATCGAGGTGAGGCGAGGCCAGACACAGGGATGAGGATACGCTTCAGACTGGTAAGAGGGGGAGGGGGCCCAGCGTTGCGCTGCTCCCACGCTCTGTCCTCCTCCTCCTCCTCCTCCTCCTCCTGCTCCTCCTCCTCCTCCTCCTCCTCCTCCTCCCCCTCCCCTCCTCCTCCTCCTCCTCCTCCTCCTCCTCCTCCTCCTCCTCCTCCTCCTCCTCCTCCTCCTCCTCCTCCTCCTCCTCCCCCTCCTCCTCCCCCTGGGCTCGCCGCCAGCCTCCCTGCCTGCCTGTCCCCTTCCCGCCCGCCCCCCCGTACTTCAGGACCACGTCCCAGAGATCACCTCGAGCGCCCGGAAAAGTATCGAAGCATCGCCTCCCGGGACCCGACGCGCGAGAGCCCTCGAGCTTCGGTACTGCAGGTCCGTGCCATGTCGACCCTGGCGTTGGTTCCTGACACCGCGCTGGATCGTTCAACCTTGAACGATCGGCCGTCTCCGCAACGTCCGATCGTTCAACATCGACCGATTCTGGGCCGCCGTCGGCGTTCAACGTTGAACGTCGGCGGCGGGGTCGCCGCCGGTCGACACGACGCGAATCTACCGTATACTGTCTTGGTGCTCGAAATTCTTTCTGGCGCTCAAGGCCAGCGCAGGTCGAAGCATCCTGAGCCCGGCGCCGATCCGAAGACTCCGCGCGGGCCTCCGAATTTGGACGCCCGAAATGGGCACGGAAAGAATGGGCACAATGCCCAGCAACAAATGTTGTCCCAAACCAACAGCGGCCGCTGTTGGGCAGGCGGCCTTCTGCCTCAAACGAACACAGGCCGCGGCGACACCAACAGCGAGTCCTGTTCAGAATGAACAAGTACTGCTGTTGGGCATTGTATGACCAAGAAAAAACACATCCCAAACCCCCCGATCGCGGATTCACCGAGGATTCGAAGATCGGCCAAAGATTTCGGGATATGTTTTGCGTTCGTCGTTGTCACCCTGGTAAAACCCTGGGCCCCAAAATCTCCTACCCCGAAGTCTCGAGGAGCCTGCGTTCTGTTTTGGCCCTCGCGTTTCTGGGATTGGGCGTCTGCTTTGAGTTAGTGATTGTACCCCTTCTTTCCGCACCCGTTTCGTTCGTGCCGACCGCCCTCGCTTTTGACCACCCTCGCTTCCAAGAGATACCAAGCGACGCCAAACTACGGCCTGGCCTGTACTGGTCAGGCCACTTGACGAGGAGGCGCGTGGTATGACTTGGTCTTTCCTGGAAGCGAACGCGGGGTGGGTCATTCACGCTCTGACTCTTTCCGTACCCCTTTCGTCCGTGCCGACCGAAAAGGTTCTGCTTTGAGTTAGTGATTGTACCCATTCTTTCCGGATTATCTGGACCCTCCAGCCTCGAACGACGACCATTTTGGGTGACCCACAAGGGGGTCCAGCAGAGAGGAGGTGGTGCAATAGATTTGGGGCAATTGTTGGATGCTCGTTCTGGGGACCTTCCTGGAGCCACTCGCTCCACTCGTGCGTCGAAGCTGCGTCGAACGTTAGTCGATTTGGGTCGACCCTGAGTCGAACCTGAGTCGACCCTGAGTCGAACCTGAGTCGAACTTGAGTCGAACTTGAGTCGAACTTGAGTCGAACTGGGGTCGAACAGATCCGTTCGGTGGGCTCCAGGAAGGTCCCCGAAACGAGCATCGAAAATTGTATTGCCAATGCGCAGACGAAAGGGGCAATTGCATTGCCCCTTTCGTCCGTGCCCACCGAAGGGTTCCGCTCACACACCGCCGCTCCCGCCGCCCTCTGCCTCCTCCTGCTCCTCCTCCTCCTCCTCCTCCTCCTACCTCCTACCTCCTACCTCCTCCTCCTCCTCCTCCTCCCCCTCCTCCTCCCCCTCCTCCTCCCCCTGGGCTCGCCGCCAGCCTCCCTGCCCCCTTCCCGCCCGCCCCCCCGTACTTCAGGACCACGTCCCAGAAATCATCTCGTGCCCCTTTCGTCCGTGCCCACCGACAGGGCTCCGCTCGCACACCGCCGCTCCCGCCGCCCTCCTCCCGGGGCTGGGGCCGCGCCGCCGCGCAGCTCACTCCGAGGCTTCAGTTGGGCGCGTCCCTCTACATTACCAGCCTGGAACTTATCCCTGTGCGCTCGGGCATCCGCCGATCATTTTTCAAATCCGCGGCCCTGGAGGTCCCGACTCCTTCCCAGGGGATGGTTTTTCGGTCCAGATGATTTGTTTCATTGCCCCGGGGCCCGAAAGCAGCCCCCGAGGACCGAAATCAAAAAACAAAATTCAGGTTCAAACAATCATATCGTCGGAGGTCTGTGGGTGTGTCGGCCCACCGCGAGTGATCCTGTCAATCCTCTATTTGCCAGTCTGGAACATATCCCTATCCCTGTGCTGGGCACCTCCTCCTCACGATGCCAATCTCAGGGGTTCCCTTTATGTTTTGAGGGCGAATCCCTAAGATTGTCATCGCCTTTTGGCGTGTCACTCTTAGGGATGGGGATACGTTCGAGGTTGGTAACTACAGGGGGAACATCCCCCCCAAAAAAATAATAGCCGGGGGACGATATTTGAGCATCTGTTGATCGTTTCGGCGTGTTTGTTTGACTATCTTCCAATGTTTCGTCCGAGGCTCCCCGCGCCCCGAGGGCACCGTGGGGTGGGGGAAAACCGGGAGGTGCCGATACCGCTACTCTCCGGGCCTCGCCTGGGGGTGCCTCCAGACCAGCATCTCGAGGTGAATCCAGCCGTGGCGACGAGGACCTCCCCTGAGGTCCAACAAGGGGAAAGAGAACGAAGGAAGGGCGAAAGGATGGGTACCTTTCTTCCTCCTCTGAGAAGGGCTTCCGGGGATTCTCTGACCCGGGTCAGTCCAGACCGGGGCAGTCAGGCCCTGCAAGATCCTGCTGGATCCTGCTTCATCCTGCACCCGAGCCTGGGTCAGTGCAACCCTGGCGCTGCAGGATCCTGCAAGATCCGGCGCTGTGACTGACCCCCGCTTGCATCGACCCCCGTCTCTTGAGCCCCGAGGCTTCGCCGCGGCCTGACGCCCAGCCAGCCTCGGCACTGCTGGCGCACGTTGGCCTCACTCGGCACCGCCGGCGGCGCCCCCGTAGTAGGAGTCCAGGAAGGCCCCCACGCGGTCCGCCGCCCAGCCCTGGTTGGCGGCGAGGAGATCGGGGCGGAGAAGAGGGGGAGATTCGTAAAAGGAACCTCATGCCCGTGAGAATAAACACTAGGGGATAATAAAGTTCGGGGTTCAGGGAGAGATAATAAAAGTAGCCCAGCAGACCTCAGCATAATCTCGAAGTAAGAGATGATCAAGAGGAGACCAAGCCGAGCACGTTTTGAGACATCCTTGGCGTTTAGTTTTCATAGAAATATCCTCAACAATGGCTTATCTCTCATGAAAATTGTTTTTTGTAAGTGCTCGTGTAGGGTAGCTCATGTGCCTCAATTTCCATGGATAATCAACCCCAGAGATAAACAAGTTCAGGCGAGCGTGGGGACAGAGAGAAATATAAAAGAAGAAGAATACAGTATAATAATAACAAGAAAGAAGAAGAGGAGAATAAGAAGAGGACGAAGAAAGGAAAAATCCAAAGTTCCAAATCTATCAATTTTAATTTACAAGCGCTTTATGACAATTGATTGTTTTAAGTGCTCGTGTAGGGTAGCTCATGTGCTTCATTTTCCATGGATAATCATACCCCGGAAATAAAAAAAGTTCAGGCGAGCGTGAGGACAGATAGAAATATAAAAGAAGAAGAGGAAAGTAGAAGAATAATAAGAACATTGCTCGTTTCGTTTGAGTCTGCCTCCCAAAATTAGTGGTTTCGCTTGACACATCCTGAAAAAGTGTGATCGCTTCGCTTGATGTTGCTATATCAACATCGCTTGATGTTGCTATCTCAACATAGCGTTTCGAGGTGATAATGAAGTTCGGCCTCAGCGCTCGCCGCCCAATTTGAATTTTGTATAGGGCGACGATAATCAACTCTAAACACTGAAGGGGGGGGGTCCCTTTATTATCATCGGCATGCGGTTAAATAGACACGGGTCCCAAGATTTCCCTGATGTTTCCCTATTTTCTGGATGCTCGTCGTCCCCCCTTACCATTTTTCCCATATTCTCCTGGGGTTCGACGATTGTGTGCTTCTGTGTCTATCATTCTCTCCCGAAGGAGGTCGGGGCGGACGAGAGGGGGGATTCGCACAACGAAGGGCTAGCGAACCAGCCCTCGACGAAGAGAAGAGAAGAGGCGTAAACAGAAGCTGCCGAAGCTCCGCGCGGATTTCTTGGATCTGCTCCTGGCGCCCTTGGCGCACTCCGCGCGCCAGGGCGCAGCGCGCTCCGAAAATCTTCGTTGCTGGTTTGTTGTTCCTCGAGGGGCCCAGAAGGGCCCCTTTGGGGCCCTTTTCTCCACCCCTCGTTTTAAGTCGGGCGTGTCCCCCTACAGGGGGATTTTGGGCCAAAAATAAAAAAATCCAAAAAACACCCCCTAAACTATTCAAAAACAATAAAAAATCGTTCCCAGACTATTTTTTGACTATTTTTGAATATTCCCCCTGTAGAGGGACACGCCCGACTTGACCCTAGCTTAGGTCACCCCCCACCACCACCCGCCCGGCCGTCGAAACTTCCGCAGCTGGCTTTCCGGGCGCCTCCTGGCGCCCGGGTGCATCGGTGCACGCGCCACGGCGGCGGGGCCGTGGCCAGCTGCAAGCAGCACCAGATCTCCTGCGCCCCATCACCCCTTCGCCCGACCCGAGGAGGAGGGCCAC